ACTCCTCCCACATATGCAGAATGCAGTCTCCTGCACACTGCCTGGCTGGCACCGGCAGGGAGAAACACATCTGAGCATCAGGACTCATTTCATTCTTATTCAAATATCTATCGTAAGGCTAGCTGGGAGGCAGAAGTTCCTGCAGCCCCATTGCTGCTCAGAATAGAAATTCTGTTTCTGTCTTGGGATGTTTCAGCTGCAGAGAATAGAAGAGGTGATTTGAAAAAAGCCCAATACAGAGCAAAACATCAGCCTTGAAATGGCTGAGCACTTTGGAAGGTGGATTTGTTTCTTCATCTTTTTTTTGTAAGTTTTACCAACAAGATAAAGACTCTGTTCTCCTCTACCAATCTGTTCTTAATAATTATTAATTCCCTGAAAGATAGTATTTATGCAAGCATACAGTTGTTAACACTGGTAAAATGGAATAGCTTCTCCATTAGTGTGTTGATACAGTGCTTGTGTTCACCAGTTGTAGAAGAGTAATCAAAGTACACCATTTCAGTGCAAGAATGCAGTATCACAAATAGGTCAGCGCATAAAAAGCTTGGAAAAGTATTTTCTTTTTAAATAATGTATCTGAAAAAAACATTTGGGTATTTTATAAAGCAGCTGAGGCTCCTTTAGCTTTTTTTTTTTGGTACTGGGACAACATGTAACTTTATACTTTGATTATTAGAAGTCTGAAAATATAGATTAAAATCTTCCAGAAAAAAAAAATCTTAGTTTTTATTTGAGTCTAACTTCAACATTCTGTAAAAATAATTTTAAAAAACCTAACAACTAAACCTCACCGTGTAGGATTACTCTGCTCTGAAAATAATGCAAAGTATGTTTCCTGTTGTTTAACTCTGGAAATCAACATGTTACAACTCTTTTCCAGCCTGGAATGATAGGCATTTGAGGTTGTTGAATTTAAACCACATTGCTGGTGGTCTGCTGGTTTTTAGAAGAAAAGGAATATAGCTTGAAGCACTACAAGGTAATAGAGCATTCCCTGTGCAGAATATATTGAAATTATACATATTTAATGCTGTTAATAGAGCCTCAACTTCTACTGCTTTCAAAGTTAATAAAAACTGATTAGTTAAGCAGCGTAGGTACTTTCAAAAGGCTGAATACTAATTTTCCACTGCAGGCTATGAATGACTTCAGTGAAAGTTGTTTTTTCTTGGGTGCCTGATTTAAATGTGAAGAACTTTAACACCCACCAAATACTGTTAGAAACAAGCATTTATATGCTCTGAAACTGTAATATAGCAATATGAAGAACAACAGCCATGGCTACACAGTCAAAAAGTATTGCTGCATAGGCAGCGCCTCGAAGCAAGGATTTTTCTGTGCTCTCTGGAGGTGAGCCTCCTAAATGGATATTTAGGTCTTATTGCTGTAGTAAGATATCTGTCCTGTTGTCTTTGGCTTGCTTAATACTTTCTAGTTCTCAAGTCCTGCTTCATTGCTGCAGTTTGCTGTAACTGATAGCCCTGATCACCTGCACCTGGTAGGTTTCCTGCATTTGGCACAGGTTTAATAGTCACTGAAGTGGCTTAACAGAAGGGACACAAGTGCTCCTGAATCTGTTGGAATCACTGCAGGAGAAGTAAGGAAATGGATGCTAATGCTCAAGACACTGAGGTCATCCCAGTTACACTCTTAGACTTTTGGAGCTTCAGTAGGTCAACTATGGTTCCTTCTTTGGACAGAACGTCCCATGCCAGAGTGGTTTAATGGGAATGCCCAGGCTTCCCAGATTTTGGAAGTGAAAGCTGATTGTTATCTCTGGTCATACCATCCTTTCACAGTACAGATGATGCCAAAGTGGCACTGGTGCTTAATCTGTCAGAAGCTGTTGCCTTAACGTTCCCTTCGTTAGATAAGGTTTTGAAGAACCACAAAAAAAGGCAGGTACCACCTCTAGGAAGGGGAAATGACCTAGGAAAGGGCAAATGATGAAAGATAAATAAAATTCAGTTGAGAACAGTGGTGCACAGTGGAGATTCTGTGAGTTGGGTTGAATACTAAATGGAAGCTCATTATGCAGAGCTGCGTTTGAAGCAAGGGCCAAGCAGAGATTTCATCGGTGAAGTGGAAGCCTCCTGAGGGTCCAGAGAATACTGTCACTAGGTGTGTTAGTGTTGACACCACTTTAGTGAAGTGCCATGTGAGGAAAAGAAGGGAGCCTATATGGTTGCAGTGTACCGGGTAGTTCTCTCCACCTTCAGTTACATAATCTTCAGATTAAGCCCATACAAGCTTTTAGGTTTCGCTTATACTTCATTAGCAAAAGAAATGGCTCATGTAGACCCTATATTGAGTCTTAGCACTCAAGTAATATTAGAAAATGAGTAGATATCTTTAATGTCTGAGCTATTAGACTGCCAGTATGCTTTTAGAATGTCTGTGAAACTGAATATGAGAAACGACTGAGATGACCGGATAATGAACAGAAAGTATCTCATCAGACCAGTGGTATGTTTTACAAGTTAGATAGTGTCTGTTGGGCAATTCAATGCTCTGCTACCACTTTAATTATATTTGTAAAAATGTAATTAATTGAGCTGTAAAAATATACTGTGAAGACACTTGTTTAGGAAACGCAGACCAACATGAGTAGTGCATAAAAACAGTTCCAGAGCTGTCAACACTAGCTTTAGATTAGAGAAGTGCTGTTTTATAAGGTCTGTCACTGAATTCTTGGTTTGTTATCTGTCCAGAGGGACTGAAAGTGGATTCAGAGATTTGGGCAATTAAAGGATGTATCATATCTGCTGATGTTTCTGTGCTGAAGCATTTATTTATGTATGCTGGCTTTCACAGCTGATCAATTAATGTCCCTTTTTAAGCATTTGCTAAAGAAAAAAACAGCATTTGTCTGGGTCTCAGTGGTTCAGGAAAAATTCCAAAATCATACACTGTCTTTAATAAACATTCTCATACTGGTATATCCCACCTTCTAAAATTTTAGGATACAAGAAGACACTTCTGACTATAATTTAGGAGTGCTGTTTTCTCAGATTGTGAGTCCTCAAGCCTGATTTCATTTGTTCATGTTGATTAAGAAAAGCAGAATATATAGTATTAGTGACAACCAATACTTTTGAAGGAGCCTGGTTCCCAATTTTCTTAGGAAACATGAAGGTTGTTTTTTGTAGTAGTGATTAAATCAGTGGTAAATGATGGAGTTCATTCTCTCAAAGTTTCCAGCTTGCCATCATCTATGGGCAGGCAGAAAAGGAAAGCTAATTGTTGCAGAAGTTACTAACCTCTTTCTCGAGTGTAATACCACTACAGAAAAATCAGCTAGTGTTTCAGCCGGTGCAATCCATCCAGTCTCAGACCTCTTAAATATGTAAAGGAGTCTCCTGCATGATTTATTAGCCTGGTAGATAGTTCAGTACCTTTAACTAGATCCAGGTTTTCCTACAACCAGCTTATTATATCTGGGAGGCAAGCTGAATACCCAGGGAGGTTCTACTGTCTTCACGATTCTTCAGTCAAGTTATAACTCTGCATTAGCGAGACTTTTGGGACTCCTTCCCAGCCCAAGGATGAGCTACCCAGCATTTTGCTAAATCAAATGAAATCTGTGCATACACCAGTTTTTCTGTTACAACTCCTCCTCAGCTCTCCCTTAGGTTACCTGTTTAAACTTCATTGCTGAACTCACATCTTCTAAAACATGAGAATTACTTTTGTCATATTTAAAGGTATATTTCTTAATGTTTTCCTCCATCCCACTGCCTAAATAATTATTTTTTATTACCTGTAGCTTGTATTTTCTTACTGTTCTGTTTCAGCATATATCCACGTTTTGAAGGGAATGTCAGTTGCCATTTTTGTTACATGCAAACAAATGGGCAAATGAGTAAATGAAACCCTGGAAGAATGTGTGTTATATTATTAATTTTTATAAAAGACTGTTGTTTCTCAGTTTTCATACAGCTCCACTCCTTCAGCCAATACTCTTCATTATTTGCAGATTACCAGTGACAGTCTGTTCTCCAGTAGATACCCTCATTCTAGACACCTCTATATCTTTCAGACCTCATATCAAATACACAAAGATTTGTAGTCATTTTGGAAAATGGAAGGCCTGTGGCACCAGAGCAGACAGGTAGCCAGGAGCAGTTACATCATGACAGAACAGCCACAAACATTAAACCTGTCAAGAAAACTGGTCCTTTGTTTTTTAAAACTCTACTGTTTCTGTTCAAATCTCCTCATGACCTTGATTTACTTACTTCTTCACAAGTTTGTGTGTTGTGTCATAATCTTCTTTTAAAACTGTTTGCAAAAAATCAGTTTCTTGAGGAAAATACTAGCTCCTGTTCTCAGGTCCGGTAGATGGTTGTATAAGGTGTGAATTGTAGCAGACTCCATAAAGTGGTGGTGGTGTCAACTGGCAAGATCATCCCTTGACAGGGAGATTCTGTGAAGCTGCAGAGATTATGCATATTCCTGACTTCATGCAGACCTTCCATCTTGAACACCTAGAGTAGTGGTAGCTGTTTGTGGATGGGCAGGCGGGAAGAGCTTCCATTCAAAAGGAAGTACTGGGTGTTGTTATTTGGCTTAAACCCAAAGAGATGAGCATGCACAGAAGATGCCCAGAAAGGACGGGCTTGTGTAGGCATGTCAGGGACAGGATTCCGTGGGTGGTAGTTCAGTCCAGTTTTGTCCCCAGAAAGCTTCAGTTCTCTTTTAGCTTCTGCCACCACTCCCGCATTTACTCTTGCTCTTCCCCAGTCCTGCCTTGATTTCGTGGTATCATTCTGCTTGGTAATTCTACACAGTCCTACTGAAATCCTCCGGTCCCCTAATTGTCCTATATGACCCCTTTTTACAGTACTGCAGCATCTCAAGAAACTGTAAGGTGGAGAAAGCAGTGACCTAAGACAGGAACGTATAAATAAAAAAAGATAATTTTTTCAAATTATTTATTGAGAGTTTAGAGAGGTAGTATAAGACCATTAATCTTCTGGTGTTTCTTTCTGTTGCAGGGTGGGAATAATGCAGGCCATACTGTGGTGGTTGATGGAAAAGAATATGATTTTCACCTATTCCCTAGTGGCATCATTAATCCAAAGGCAATTTCTTTTATTGGTAAGACAATTTTGGAACTTATTAAACAAAATAACATTACATGGTGGGTAGCTGCAACCGTATTTTATAGTAGGAAGCAAATTAAAACCTGTGGGTGACTGTCAGTCAGATTTGTAGCTTCAGCTGTTTGACTTCTATTTCACTGCTACTTTAACGTGAAGAATTATTCCACTTTCAGTGTCAGTTTAGTTTTTGCTACTGAGAAACTGAAAGTAAGAAGCCCCTCTTTCTATCATGTTGCTGTTTCTTACACTGTATGGTACAAGTTTGGATCGCGTCCTTTACTTGTGCACTCCTTTTATACTTTCACAAATATGTGCTATTCTTTGAGAACACAGAACCAGCACTTAGGCTAAATAAATGAATTGTAAATTATCTCTGGCATCTCTTTACTGGCTTTCCAGAATAGGCCCCAGGGTGCAGCGCTTTGGAAGATTATCATCCAGTCTCCTTTTTGTTCACATTGCCAGCTGTTTTAGGTGATGTTGTATTTCATTATAAAGATACTCAATGCAGACGGCATCATAAAAAAATTTGCATTGTTTACCGGACTTTAAACTCATATTTGAGTGATATTCAAATTTAAGCCTTATATGATGATTCTTTCTGACAGAGAAATTGTATATACACTGTGCAAGAAATGAGTGTGAGTTTCAGTTTTGTTCCATTTGAGAATTTCCAAATGGATGATTGAAATACATGAAACATGTTTTTTCTCTCCTCTAAATATGCTGCATAGTCTCAGTTTACAATTTATTCCTTATCAGTAAAGACTATAACTTAAGTTATCCTAAATTTAGGTTGAGACAGACTCTTGCAGATATTTCTGATGTTCCCAAGAAGGAAGCAGCAGCTGTTTCCAGCCCACTACCTCCCTAATCCTCCGCGTCTCATCAGTAGTGCTCTGTATTGCTTGTGGATTCTATATTGTAGCTCAAAAGAGGGAAGACGGCCTTGCTAATGTATTACAGCATAGTGTGAACTGACTTTAAAACAAATACGTGAACACTGAAGAAAATTTAAATACTGTTGCACAGACTTGTCAGTGTTGTAAAGCCATGGACTTCTTTGAGCTTTTACCGGTGAACAACTGAGGCTGAAGTCGTGGTGCAAAGTCCCCCACAAAGACAAGAATCAGCTTACCTCGGCTGGCTTCGGAGCAGGCTCGGCCTTCACATCTCAAATAAGCAAGCTCTGTTTTTTCTGGGTTTAGCAGGCTTGTAGCTGCCCACCCAAAATGAGGATTTATCTGAAAGGTTCCTAAGATCGCTTTCTGAGAAACGTGAGAAACTTAGTCTTACTTCTTAAATTAAATTTCAGACAGCAAGTGTTTACATGCCTTACATCCTAAGAATGAGCATTGTGTTTCTTGCTTTAAAATAAATCATTTATGTTCCCAAAGGTAATGGAGTGGTTATACATTTACCAGGCCTGTTCGAAGAAGCTGAAAAGAATGAAAAGAAAGGTTTGTATCAAATAACTTTTAACCTTTCCTTACATTGGCAGCCAGGTTGAGGGTTTTTTTAAGCCTTTATTTCTGACCATAACTATTCAGTGTAATAGCATTCTGTGTTTTAAATAATGAAGACAACAGTATTTAGAACGTTGAATAGTGTTGTAGTCTTCGGACAGGTTTTCTAAAGCAATCTTTTCATGGGTTTTAAGGGAGCCTTATGGCATTTGATAAGCGTGTGATAAGCTAGAAGAAAGACATAGAAAAAATAAAAGCAAATCTTAAAGTTTGACCAATCAGTGCAGCTGAAATCCTCCTTTTCTTTGTATCTTCTGACAGGTTTAAAAGATTGGGAGAAAAGACTGATTATATCCGATAGAGCACATATAGGTAAGCAATGAATGATTGAAGGGGAAAAAAAATCACAAATAATTGCTTAGCTCATGGTGCTAAACTACATTGTTACTCCACATAGCAGTCATATATTTGATCTAATATGGCTTCTTTTTTTGTTGTGTATCTGAAGCATAATAATGGATTTTGTATCCTCTAAAGAGTGATGTTTTACATGTTTTCACAATGGTTGAGGAATACTCGCTCTGTTTTCACATGAGGAGGCCTGTGCACTGTCAATGATAACAAAGGCACTTTGCCTTAAAATGATATATGTCTGTGATTTAAAGAATGCTTTCCCCCTTTGGTCTCCCACTACGTCCATTTGATTTTCCGTTGCAGTGTTTGACTTTCACCAGGCAGTGGATGGGCTCCAGGAAGTGCAACGTCAAGCACAAGAAGGAAAAAAGTAAGTATTTTCAGCACCTTCATTTCATTAATAATTGTGCAAATTTGAAAAATTGGTGTCATTTTGGAAAACGGAAATGCAGTATATCTCTAAAGAGCCTTGCTAATGTTACTAATTCTGTGACTCTGTTCTGCTCCTGCTTATGTTAGCGAACAAACTCTGAGGTATTACTGAAAAGGCAGGGTATGAATTCTTACATATTTCCATTTTCCAGTTCTCTGCAATGTATAGAGACATTTTGAAATTCCTACCAAATCCTCAAACCTCATTACCATTAAAATGACATTCCCAATCCATTTTGATATCAGACTAGTGATGCTCTTTTGAATCAGGTCTGAAGTGTTGGGGAGATTAGGTTTCACACTTGTAACCATTACATTTATTGTATATTCACTTACTTTTGGTGGAGATACTAGTTTCTATTTTAATTTTAATCTTACATGTTAGCAGCATATGTAACTGTTCATACTTCATTATTCTGATTTCTGAAAGAACAAAGGTTTGTGTGAACACGCTGTATTTTTCTCTCTGTTAGTCTCTTAGTTTTGGATCCCATCAGACAATTTCAACCAAACAACATACAAATAGAGATCTCAAAATTACTGTATTTTGAAAATGCATATGAAAATAGGCATGCGGGTAGGGAAACAGTTTCATTTTTATCCTCATCAAGGTAAAGGCTGCAGTTTATGGGGACAGAGATAGTATGAATAATGCCAAAGACATAGGAAGCCAGTTTGATCACTCAGAGCTGGTTGTTTTTGACCATAGACAGTGCTGCAACTGTGAAAATGTGAAAATGACATTTGTTTCCTGTTGTTTGTGGTAAGGAATGTAGTAGTACCACCGGATAGTTTAATAACCATTATTACTGCATAAGTTATGTATATACACAGATAGTTTCAGCTAAGCTTGTCTCAGCCAGACTCAAGGCTTAATGCTTTACTGAATCCCATGAATATTAGCAATATTTATGCAAATCCACTGAAGCATGAAAGTTGCTGTATATTTATTGTTATAGAACTTCAGTCTTTTTTATGTATCAGATTTTCTGCCCAGTATATGGTATATTGAAGAGCTTTAACAAAATTACTTACCATAAAGCATATTTGTGCACACATTTATACACATTTGGGGGGGTTTCTTTTTAATTAGTATTGGCACAACAAAGAAGGGGATTGGACCAACATATTCTTCCAAAGCTGCACGAACAGGCCTTCGAATTTGTGACCTCCTTTCTGACTTTGATGAATTTTCTTCAAGGTACAACTATTTTCATTTCTAAATATTATGTTAGAGTGATACATTTTGGCTGACAGATTTGCTTTTAAGGAGATGTTTCTAAATATGTGTCTGAATTTTGTATATAAATTGTCTAGTAAGAGAAGAAAACTAGAAAGAATCTGTGTGTCTATTTTCTGTACTTCAGAGTTTCTCATAATTTAAAACATAATTTTGTACACTGGGAAATGCACTAGTTCAGGTGTTGAAGTTCTGGATATTTTCTCCCTGTATCTCTCAGTATAAACTGAGTTCTTGCCAAAGGTTCTATGAACAGGAACTCAAAAAGTGTTCTTTATAGATACAATTTCAATATTTTACAGATTTAAAAATCTGGCACAACAGTACAAGTCAATGTTTCCTACATTGGACATAGATATAGAAGGCCAATTGAAAAAGCTAAAGGTAAGGATTTAACATTTGTGATATTTGTTCAGTTTCAGGGAAAGCACAAAAGAAAACAGTAATATTTATTTTAATTTAAAAAGTGAAAGTTAAGTATACCAGAACTACTACTTATTAAACTAATTAATTTAAATAAAAAATGCATTTCTAATTATTATAAAACCTTTTAATAAGCAGTAGCTGTGGACTGATCTAGTCTGTCTGAGATACTTCCATGCTTAATGAAGAACTGTTTGTGGAAGCTGCCTTTCAAGATCCTCGTATTACAAGAAAAAATGTCTTTTTATAGATAAACTCCAAAGAGCCACTGGTAAAATGTCTTCTTTCATGAATATGTAAGAAAAGAGGATGCTAAAAATATCTCTTACCCTTCCCAGATTTTGCCTGGTACTTGTTCAGAGCTGACACTCTACCTTTAAAAATGTTTTTTAATATTTGTGAGTAGTGATTCTTTTTTTTGTTTGTTTGGAGCTTGCACTATTTCTAAGTCCCGCTTTCAGTGTGTCTAGACTGTAGACACACTATATAGAGACCATATCAACAAAGTGAGGTAGGTATAGAAAATCTCTGTGAATAGAAACAGTAGAGAAATTACATTATTCTAATAACATCTCTGTGAATAGAAACAGTAGAGAAATTACATTATTCTAATGCCATAACAAGTCATATTTTCTTATGTGAGTAGTTCATTACATTGATTTGTTTTCAGTAGAATATAAGTTAATGGTTGCATTTTTCAGGTAAAACACAGTTATTGAAGCTAGTGTGGTAGGGTTATCTGTATATTTCACGTTTAAAAAGTAAACAGTGTAACATGCTTCCAGCTGTTGTCTGGGGATGCTGACATTTCTGCTCAAATTTCCAGGGATATGCTGAAAAAATAAGACCCATGGTTCGAGATGGTGTGTATTTTATGTATGAAGCTCTTCATGGCTCTCCAAAGAAGATCCTTGTTGAAGGAGCCAATGCAGCATTACTTGATATTGACTTTGGTAAGCTAAGTTCTAAACTCAATTTAACTCCTAAGAGATTAGTTTTATTTTGATTAGTTTTACTTTGATTTGTGTTTATCAGCTTTGCAAACAGCAGGAAAATAGAGAAACAGAATAGTCTTTCCTTTAATAGGAACAGATCTCCCAAAAGTAAAGCACAGTAAGCCAGAGATTGTATCATTAACAGGATAGGGTTTAAATATTGATTTTTACTGAAGTTTATTCTAGTGGAGTTGAAATTTCACTCCAGATATTCTTATCTTTATTACTTCTAAATGTGTGTGCCCATTGCCATACGTTCCAGGCAGCCATTTTAGTGCTGCTAAGATAATTCCTCTGCAGTGGAGGGAGGCTTAAACTGGTGCAGATAACCTGTAAATCTAGCTTCTTCAGTTGATCTCTGCATTGCTCTCTCACCAAAAGTATAATTAAACCACTTATGTCTCCACGAAGATGAAATGAAGAACTGGAGAGATGCTCCAATCCAGAGTCACAGTGTAGAGATCATGGATAACCTCTTCAGACTTAGTTTGCTGCAGATACTCAGAGCTGCTTGTGTAGAGCCCAGGGAATGTCAGACTGTGACCTTTACACCAGGCTTTCCGTGGATGTTGTGGAAATACTTTCTGTGATACACAAGGCAGTGAAAAAAGCTTTATAGAGCAGCAGTGTCCTGTAATAGATCCAGTCCCCAATGGAGGTGGGATAGAGATGCTTTTAAATTTCTCCCTCGTGGGCAATCCTCACTGAAAGTTGTGAAGGATGAATGCAGAAAAGCTTACGGATTGGAACAGATCACACACACTTGATACCTCTTTAAGAAAGTAGTCTATTTTCTTACTTGTCTTGCTTGCTGATAATATGCTTGTACAAGTTGCCAGGATAAAAGTCAGCTATCTGAGTGGAAAAAATCCTTCGTTTGTGAGAGGTTTCTGTTGAGCGTTAGAAATCTAAATCCATAGATCCATTTACAAATCTCAGTCCATATTATTCACTACAGGAGGAAGCAATCTGGGGAAGAACAGCTTAATTTTTTCTCTTAAAAACAAAATGGGGACATGTAGTAAGAAGAATTTGCCCTGCTCTTCGGCTGCTATTTCAGTTTAGCTTTAAAGCTAAACATGCATGTGAAAATCTCCTTTCAACTCAAAGGAAAATCAGTCTTTGTTTCTTATCATTGCTGAAACAGGGTTGTGCTGTTGTGTTTTTCTGACAGGCACGTATCCTTTCGTGACTTCATCAAACTGCACCGTAGGTGGTGTATGCACCGGGCTTGGTGTTCCTCCCCAGCATGTCGGTGATGTGTATGGCGTGGTGAAAGCATATACTACTCGGGTGGGAATTGGAGCCTTCCCCACTGAGCAGATTAACGTAGGTTTAATATTACAAAATGCAATATATACAGCTGCCAAAAAATAAGGTCAATGGAATGGCGTAAGGGTATACCAATGATAAATAAGCACCATAATAATAATGCCAAAGCAATCACACTCACAAAAAGAGGAGAATTACATTATAAACTTAAGGTATTTTTCTTGAGAGGAATGAAACATCAGTGTGATGATGTTCTATTATAGTGACCACACTTCTGTTGTAATGAATGATGTGAAAACAGATATTATGATTTTATGTAATATCGTTAATTTCAGTGGTGAGAGTTTGTTGCAGACTGGAACTGTCAGTGCATTGCAGGAAAGCCTAAATTACAAGGTACAACTTCTGTGCTTAACAGCCTGCATTCTGTGTCATTTGTAGAACAAATGTGGTGTATGCGTCAGCCAGTCGTGCACAAATTGATCAATAAAAAGGAGGGGAGAGATTTTGATTATTTTAAACTGTCTATTATATTTTCATTATCAAGAAACTAGAAAGCTCAGGGTATTGATTATCAGCTATGCACACAGCAATTTCTAGGTCAGTGATCTGAATCTAATTTAAGGATTTAGTCACTAAAATCCTTGTTCTAGTGGCTCAAATGAAGCGATGATATCCTTTAGTTTTGTGAATCACGAGCGTCAAGTGTCTTCCTTTCTTCGTTTTTCACACAGCATAAACGCTGCCACCCTGAAAGGAACAGTTGGTGGTCTCATACTGTGGTTGAACCTAGGAGCCCTAGGCATGGTCAGGGAGTCTGACACAGACATTGTACAAGCGTTGGTCATGTCCCAAGCATTTACAGTCTTGCCCCCCAAAGTAATAGATGCCAAAAGACCAGATGAAGAAAGTAAACACAAACAAAAATAAAACCAGGGCTGAATTGTCAAGGAACTCTTCCTGTCAGATGAAGAAGGAAGAAAACTGTCTCCTTGGAACATGAAATAGTAATATTAAATAAGTATTTTGGAAGTGCCAGTGATTGAAACACAAAACTCTTGTGCGTGAGGGGCTTTATTCTCTGCCTTAGTCCCCTCCTAATAAAAATTAATATTTTTCTCTTTTTTTCCTGCAAAAAAAGCCTTGGAATTGAACAACTGCATTTTTCTTGCTATTTATCTGTATTTTTTTAGATTTTGTTTTCCACCTGTTTAGTGAATTACCATCAGCATTCTTTCTGTCGTCTTTTAGGAAATTGGAGATCTGTTACAGTCCCGTGGCCACGAATGGGGAGTAACTACAGGCAGGAAGAGACGCTGTGGCTGGTTAGATCTTGTCATTTTGAAATATGCTCATATGATCAACGGATTCACTGCGTAAGCATCACAGATTTTGCGCTACATTTGGAAGTGATAATTTTGTGCTTCACAGAATAAATATGTAGGTAACATTAATATAAGTCCAGTAAAGTGTTACATTTTAAGCAATAAAATAATTCAACATGGGCAATTGAGAATTGTCTTAATGCTAATAATAATCTAATTCCTTTGCATTTTTTCAAGTCGTGTGATTTTACAACATCATAGCAGTGATTTTTTTTTTTATATGTTTTTACTTTGCTTACGTCAGGTGGCCGATGTAGATTAGAAAATTGATGTATCAATCCAACAGTTTGCTCTAGTGTTCTTGATCCAGTGCTTTCATACTGTCTTATGTCATGATCTAAAACCTGCTGGTTTTGAGCTTGGATTGACTCTAATGGATTCACTTGTAGAACCGAATCTTTATCATTCAGAACTACTACCTCTTTAAGTGAAATTAGTGGGATGACACGAAGTGTACAGCAACTCACACAGCTCTCATTCCAGTCCCAACAGGTTCTTTTATTTACAAAGGTTTAGTCTAATATTGTATTATAAATGCTGTTTTTAATGGGCTGAGCTTTATTTTTCTTGAGACTAAGCGATTTATTTTGTTGACAAATTATCTTGGAATGCAAAATATATATTAAACTGACATTTTGAAGGAAAAGTGACTGTTCAAAGACTGTTCCAAGAGTATAATGCCATCAAGCTAGCTTACGTCTAACGCTAAAATGCTAGTAGTTTATAAGTAATTACCAGTTTGTATTTTCAGAAGAAGTTAGAAAAGTTTCATTACAGTTTTGTTCATACGAAGTGTAGACTTACTCATGCATTCAGGCAAACGTGTTAATATATGCAAACACATGACCCTGGGCATTTTAATATCTTATAAACTGAGACTTAACTTAATATTGTTTATGCTTCTAATGTTACAAAGGTACCATGATCTTTGTTCATTAATTTATTAGAAGGGGTTTTAGATTTTTTTTTTTTTCACTTGGACTTATATTTTGCTTTAACTTAGAGCTCTAGTTTATGTGGAAGTAGTATTAGGAAGGCATTGTGATTCCTTCCATTTCAGTTCTATACAATTACTGCACTTCTGTCAACAAAGCTATGTCATCTCTGCTAAATGTGACAGTTCAAAAACATGGGCAGACAAAAACTTCATAAAGTTGAGAGCTGCTCTAAGCTGCTGCTTTTCCTAAAAATGTCTTTTCATTTAATCATCGCATTCATTGTATACTTACTGAGCACATACAGCATAGACTGTTAATCCCATACCTGTCTAAATCCTTAGCTACTGATAATTCTACCGAGCAACGTCTGGCATATTGTTTCCAGAGAATTTGACTAGTTTTAAAATGCAGTTTTATTCTGATCAGTGAACACTATGGTGTCATCTTGAGGTACCATTTTTGTGTTCCAGTGCCTTCATTCACAAGATAAAAAAGGTTCATTAAACTGACAACTCTGATAGCATAGCCTGAGCACTGAAAGTCAGGGTGGGATCCTTCCTACTGAACTGTATATGTGATTTTAGTAGCCAGATTATGCTTATGAAGTCTGTTTTAGTGGGTAAGTAAGTCTGTAAGTGTGTAATTACACTAAGTGTAATTTAGTAAATAAGTCTGTCTTATAGTTGTTGTGAATCAGTAGGAGTAACAGAAATAATCACTAGTAGTGATGTAAAGTGCCATGCAGTCGTACACACCCAAGCCAAGTCCAGTAAGTGCCATTTTACACAGTCACCTTGCATTTTCATGCGCTGACCTGAACACTGTGCACCTGTATGAGCAGCCAAGTGTTTGGAAGTGGCTTGGTAACTCAGGCATATATTCATCCCAGAGGCGTGAGTTCAATTAACAATGTTGATAGTTCAATACGTTTATGTATTTCTGCTTGCTGGGTTGCCTGAGCTGGATTTGTGAATACAAAACTAGGAAGGAAAAAAAAAAGATAAGTGTGTAACTCTCTAACCGATGTTTTTCTGTACAGTTTGGCCTTAACAAAACTGGATATTCTTGATGTCCTTGATGAAATTAAAATTGGTGTTGCTTACAAATTGGGTGGAAAAAGAATTCCCTATTTTCCAGGTATGTTGTTAAATATCTATGTTTTCTCTTCCCTGCCTGTTAAGTAATATCTGTTGGGAAAGACTTCTTTTTAAAATCGGTTTTGATTTCTTTTTCATTAGACCTTCTGTGGAAATTTGCAGAACTGTAGTATCAGTGTAAAGACTGCCCGGTCAGTACATTAGCATTTTCCATTCACTTTACATCTCTCCATATGATGCCAAAAATTTCAGAGGAAATGAAATCTTGTCTTAGGGCCTCTATGTATTGCCCCATTAGATTTCTTCTTATTGGCAACAGCAGGGATCCGAAAGTCAGCAAGACACAAGTCAGTGACTGTGTATCTTTGGCAATGGCCTTTAATAAAGTAAAGTAAAAATAAAAGCAGCGCTTAAGCTGTGCAAAAAATGAGACGGATACTTGCAGAGTAAAGCTGCTTATGGTCTACCATCTTATAAATGTAGTTAACAGCAGCAACATTGTGGTTAATAAAAATATATATTGCCTCTCAATATGATTGATCTTAAAACCATTAAGATGTAATAATATATGATTTCCTTACATTAATGATGTTTTCAAGATACTTGTAACAGTCTGTGCCAAGACGAAGGGTTTGTTCTGTTGAGACAGGGGATTCTGGAGGCATGGGGAGGGCTGGCAGCAGCCAGCTTTACCACCGCTGATGGTAGCTCCTGGCTGTGGACACAGTGAGAATTCCAGGGGGGAAAGCTTGAAGCCAACTTGAGTTTTTAGCAAGCCTGACTTAACCCAGTTCTGTAAAGATAAAAACATTTGAGACAGTAGAGCCTTCTCAGGAAGACTTCTATTTTATTATGTGCAAATGTGAACCAAAAGTGGAAATACTGTAAACTTCAAATAATACGTTTCCTCAAAAATAATACTGTAGTCTTTTGACAGCATAGAGTGCATCCTACGGTTTTTAGAAGAGGAAACTGGATTCCTGGATCCTCTCAGATCAGAGTTATCTTCCTAAGTAACAGAACTTAATCTAAGTTAAGAATGAATGAATGAACCAACCAGTAGAAATACTATTTTTTCATACAGCAGATATTAAATGTTGTCAAAAGACTTTGTTGGTCAAGAACCGTAGGTGTGTTCTTTTAAGGTGGAGCAGCTAAACCCAACTGTGATCAATATTGTTTTTCCACAGCTAATCAGGAGATACTACAGAAGGTGGAAGTAGAGTATGAAACAATGCCTGGATGGAAGACTGACACAACCAGTGCACGAAAATGGGAGGACCTCCCACCCAAGGCCCAGAATTACATCCGATGTGTGGAGAACCATGTTGGAGTGCCAGGTAAATCTTTCTGTAGAGGTACATATGAGGATGCCATGGCAGAGAGGAATACCTATATAAAAGTGCTCAAGTTTTCCTTTTCTGAAAGTCAGGGAGTGGCTAGATTTGGGCAGGAGGCAACAGAGGCCTCTGTGGTTGGACTGATGATGGTAGGTGACAGCTAGCCAAGAAGCAGCAAGGGGTGGTGTTTTGTGGGCAGGTCTGCAGTGCTGCAGAGAACTCCAAGCTGCTGCTGACAAGGGTAAAATCAGAGGAAAGATAAACGTGTACTGTTCTTGGCGAACTGCCGCCTTCTGTCAGTGAAGACTTTGGGACCTCTGCACCATGCTTCAGTGCATAGGTAGTCTAATGTCTTCCCTTTACTAATCTTTCTTTCAGTTTACTTCCTGCACTGCATCACTATTTGAACATAGGCTTCTTTTTTTTGTCTTTTTTTTTCTCTATTCCCCACTTACACATATAAGGAGATGTGTTGCATAATGGATGCAAGATTGCTTAGCCCAGTTCTGCCACTTTGGAAGAATGAGAATCTTAACATGATCAAGTCTCCAAAGGTTAAGCCATCCAGTTTTCTTCAAATCTAATTGCTACAGCTCTAGAGGTGCCAAGAGCTAGATATGGCATGAATGATGGAGTTTGAAAGGCAATTTCCACAGTAGTAAACTTAGAAAGCTGGCATGTGTGCTTTTGTTTTCCATAAAGCACCTCAAAGGTCACATTTGGGGAGTGTGAGCTAGTTTCGACTGTGGGAATTCAAGTATCATTTATGGATTACGAAGCATCTGATAGCAGAGCCTGAAACTGGGTGGATGGTCTCTGTGTGGTCATGGACAGAGATGTGGGCGTGTGATATATAAATAAAAGTCCCCTTATTTTATTTCTGAGGTTCTCCATGTGAAGGTAGGGTGCCTTGGAGGGTTTGATGTCTGAAGGAGACCTACCTACAGTTAGTTCTATAGTATCCATGGGCACTAAAAATTGTAATGGAACAATAATAATATGGTGTTTGGGGTGACTGCTCATACTGAATGATGTTTTTAATTGGAGCCTTACATCTAACAATACTGTATCACATGTGCATCACTGTCTCCCGGTCCACACTGAGTAAACTTCACAGTCTAGCAGAGCTCTTGCTTCCTCCCTGCAGCAAACATGCCTGACCTGCTGTTAGGTCGTCCATCTGCAGTGCTTTGTGTTTATGGTGTAATTATTTCATACTTTCAAACTTTAGTATATTGCACTTCTAGTCTAGTAATGCAGGAGGAGTAAAGTGATTTTTGACAGTAAAATGTCCTAGCATTGTGTTTCAGCACAAAGCTGGCCAGTTTGTAGTGAAGTGTGATGAAAGGTGAAAACTCTTCCAATTCGTTGTTTATAACACTTACTCTCAGTAATTGTTCTAATAGATGTGTTTTCCTTCCTAGTTAAATGGGTCGGAGTTGGAAAATCAAGGGAGTCGATGATCCAGCTATTTTAAACAAATGAAGACCTTCAGTGGTGAGAAGCACAATTTAGCGTTCATCTGTTCCTTACTGCTTCCTCTTTAAATGGAGATGCTGTTTAAAACCAACATGTTCTTCTAGGAATTGAATAGAAACAAAACATATATTCTGTATTGTAACACTTTGTTTATCTTCAAGTTCTCAGTAAATTCGGTGTAAAATCTCCTTGGTAGCCATCATTTAAAAAAAAATTTGAAAAAGTATTCTTAACAAAAAAAGTAAAAAAAATATATATTTTTTTTTTATATGAAAAATGTTACTATTTGAAAGTATTTTACATCCAGATAGAGTTATTTCTTCTTGATGAAACCAGTATTAAGCCTTTCCCAGTAGTTACTGGGTAACTTTAGAATTGTGAAGCTTGGATTTGTTCTTCAACTTTAAATGTTAAGGTATCTATATATCTGGGTTGACAGTAATAAGGCAGGTTCCATGTACTTAAGTTGGTTGGATTATACAGATTTTCAGTTTCTAAAATACAGTGAAGTTAGGTAGGTATTTTTGACTGCGCAGAGCAAACACAATTATCCATGATTTTTATATAATGATTTTTAATAGCACACTAAAATGGATGAATAGCAGCTAAAATATTTTTATTACAGAGCCAATTCTAGTAACTGAGATACATCTGCAGAGGGGCCAAACAGGAGAAAGTTGTACTAACAGACAATCCCTGTGGACACTGTCAGATGTGCAGTCTTTATTCTGCGCAGTAGGGAAGGAGTGAGTCAAGGTGGAAGGGAGAGAGTCCTCAGGGTACAAAACACACAGGCAGAGCGGAGCCGAGACAGCATGTTGTGTTTTCTCAGAGAAACTGAGACATTTCTTCCTGCTAAGGTAGTGATTTTAATTTCCAAAGTTTCACTGTAGTTATCTGTTGAGGAACTTGGGACTTGCAGCTCTGCAAGGCACACTCACTTCCACAGCTCCTAGGTTTCCAAGAATAAATCAATGCATGACTTAACGATGACTGCTGCAGTATTTACACCCTTCATGCATTTTGACCTTCCTCAGCAAAATGTAATGCCTATTTATAGAAGGGGATGACACGTGGCAGCCGGGGCTGGGACACGTAGAAGCCAGGGAGAGGTCCCACAATCTTCAAAAATGTAGATCCTCTGATTTATAGTGGTTATACTTCAAGAGCTCTCAACAAAGGTCTACCTCTTGTAGAGGAAAAAGAATACACTACAGAGTTATTCCCTAACCGTGGAATTTTCCAAGTAAATGTTCCTTTTCTATATATGTCTTGGAGAGCTGTAATAATATTTTTGTATCATGCCCCGGGGCTGTGGAAATGGCATCACAACCCCAGTAATGCCATTAACTAGTGTGTGAAAATATACCTTTTCTGAGGTGATAACTCCAAGGATACAAAACGCTGACATTCTTTGCATCAGAGATGGGGAAAAAGAAAAACCTATCTGGAGTATCTTGTGTCACATTCATCCCCTTTTGTCTTTTCTTGCTCAATATTAAATAACAGTTAATGTTCAAACCCATTAGTGTCAAGAAGCGATTACAAAAGTACTGGTACAAGCACATAGCAACAACTAGATTTAAGTGTTTACGGATGTATTGCTGCTTGCAAGGCAGAATTCTTACACCCTCTGGCTGCAGTGCAGTCTGTTTATGCCCCAGTGCATCACGAGCTGTGGCTTTATGCCACAAACAAATACCCTTTATCTCTTAAAAAAAAGCCCTACGCTGCGAGTCCTGAATTCAGCAATTCAGCTACATCTTCTTTGTCAGTCTTTGACAGGTTGTTTAATCTCCCCGCTACTGTTTTTGCAGTCTGTAAAATGGCAGTTAGGAATACATCCTCACCTCTCTTACACTGTGTTTTGGAGGTCCTGTTGGTCCAGCCCTGCAGTCCTTGCTCTGACATTGATGAGGAAGCTCTCCCCATCGTATTTAGGGGTGTTCTAATGAAAGAGCAATGAGATTTCTGACCTTATTTCATGTTTGCAAAGCACCTCTGAAAGGTGCTTGGTGCTAATTATTACAAGCACCATCAAATGTGCCTCCTTTGTATGAGGTAATTTAAGCATGAAGATGCTTGGAGATACAGTAATTAAGTTTTATTTTTATGTGGCTCAACCTTGTGACATTGGCCTACGGGATGTTCTGGACCTGTTCCTCTTCTTGGTCCTTTTCATCTGTGCGTTTGCGTTAGGGGGTGGCCACTATGTTTAAGCTGTGGTTGATTTATAGGCAAAGTCCACCACAACTGCTAAGCCACTTGGTGTGCTGAATAACTGGATTAAATGATTGACTCCGAACAAAGTATTTGTCATACTGAAAAAATTAGGTTTTATAGCTTAATTTTCACAGGATTACTTCCTGTTGTTCACCTAATCTTTAAATTTTCCATTAAATAGTTTTTCCATTAAGTTTCTGTTAGATCCATATTGTCTGTCTTTGTGTTCAAGGATTCATCGGAAACCCAGTGATGTTGTCAATGGCCATGATTTAGTAGGCAATTATCCCATGGCTTACTTGGTTACCATTAAAATAATATCATGCATTTCATTTTATAGCATAGATTTTTTAAATTAAAGTTCTACCCCTATTGAATTTCATATGTGTTGTCATCAAGTTAAATGTGAGTAAGTTCAGGCTTTTATCGAAAATCTCTTTAATCTACTGAGTGACACAATGCGTAATAAGAACATTTTTATGTAAATTCGCTTTCATTTTGGCTGTTTCCCATGTGTATTATTTTGTATTGTTTGGAATGTCATTTTAATAACAATCACTGTGATGAATTTAATTTCTTCTTTCTGCCCAGCCAAATGCAGTAATAATGACTAAAACTGGTTGATGCATCATCCTGTTAGATATCTGGATGGAAGAATAAGGGTAAACGTCTACCAAAACGGCATAATTTGTGGTAAAGATTATAGTTTTTTAAAAGTAGCAATTACTGATGCACTCATGCACATTAATGTATTTGACGTATTTTCTCACACTTACACCTGACTCTGGAGGCCATATTTAAGGGTATGGTTCCTAACATGTGCAGTATAGGATTTTGAAGCTTTTGTAATTTTTAATTTGCCTATATATGGTCTTACAGTTCTGGTATAATGCACTTTATAAAAGGAAAGAAAATGAAGCATTTCCATAGTAATGTGCAAACTACACTTACACCTTATGCAGATTTTTTCAGATGAATTTTGGATCCACATCTGTTTACTTTGTCCTGAAAGACATATTAAAACTGATTTAAAGTAACAGTGCTTGGTCTCTATTTCTCGGGTTTTTTTTGTAACACAATACACTTCATACAAAAACCTCGTTCAGTATTTCATGGATTTTAAAAAATATCTATCAGCATTATTGAATTGAATGGATATTTTCTTTTGATCTACAGATTCCCAGTGTTTGGTGGGGTTTTTTTATATATTCTGTAAACTTTGTCACACTTATCCATTTACAAACTGAGCAGGGATCCACCTTTACCAGCGAGGATTTATGGTGAGTTGTCTCCAGTTAGCTCACCTGAGTGAGCTATGGTTTTATGAAGGAAGAAAAAAAACCCATTTTCTAATTGATACAAAAATGTTCTTGCCATACCAGCTGGCTCAGAACAACTGGTGTGAATGCCATATAGCTCTTCATCAACAACACTGTGCTAGAAAGGAGAGGTAGATATTGGCTCAGATAAATAATTATCACGTCTACAATGTGACTGGGCTTCAGACAAGGACTGTTAGGGCCTTCAGAAGCCTTTGTAGAAATCACTGCTTTTCTCGCCCATTTTAGAAGAAGCCTGGAACAGCAGGTGAGTGACCTGTCCAATAAATGACAGTGGCAATGTCCGAGAGCTGTGTGAGAACTGCTCTGCTAATTAACTAGTATTTCTTCATTTCCTTTGCATCAGTCATATAAATTCATGTAGAATGGTCTTTGGTAGACGAAGCATCTGAAGCAGTTTCATGTAACTCCACGTGATGCTGGCAATGCCCAAGGCAAAAAAAAAAAAAAAAGCCTCACAACTGAGGGAGTCTCTCTGCCGAAGTTACCCACCAGGAAAACACTTGTTTTTTCAGTGGTCTGTCTGTTGTCGGTCAGCTGGAGAGGTGAGTCTTAAGACTGTTGATCTTGTTTCCTCCTTCTGGCCCAGTAAAAAGAGGACCAATGTGACCGTCTTGCCTCTGGAGAGCTGCAATTAGTAGATGATGTTCCTGCCCCTGCCCTCTTCTGGTAATACTTTACATAGGGTCAGGCTCCAGCCAACTCCTTATTCCTTGTGGAAGTGGCCCGGCTTCCTTTACGGTAACATGTAGCCATCAGAGAGCTGGCTTCAAGGGCTGGCTCTTTGCAAAAAGGACAAGCTGACACCACCCTTTTATCAAGGCATCAGCCAAGAGAGAAAATCCAGCTCCAGCCGTCTTACCTGTAGGAGAAGTCCCTGTTTGTGGTGCAGGCGCTGTATCAGAGGGTCACCTGTGGATTTGTTGGCTACTCACTAAGTGAGTTTGTTACCGCTGGTTTCATGTCTTTAGCAGATCCGTGTTGCCAGTGAAGAAGGGGGAGCCTGAGGTGTGGAGCTGCTCGATGATCACAGTGCTACTTGGGATCCACGGTGTATGAGAAGTGGTGGTGCACAGCCTGTGTCAGGGAGGTGGGAAACTTGGTCCTTCCCTTCCCAAATCATGAGTCCACCACAAAGGAGCTTCGGAAGGAGCACCTTTTGCTCTCTGATGGGGCTGGTTGAACCCTTACATGCTGCTCAAATTTAAAGTAAGAAATTATCCATGTGGAGACACTGAAGAAGTCTACGCAAGGATTTCAAGATTTGCTTTTAATCTCTTCTATACTTACAGGAAACTTATTGTTCTAAAATACCTTCATGGGTTAATAGCTGTACATTTCTAGAGTAGAGACTGTGCATTAAATATTTGCCTATCAGGCCTATGAGATGGTCTGTAAGAAAAAAAAAAAAGAAAAGGGAAAAAGGTCTTCTGTAAGCATGTATCCTTTATAGCTTCCTCTAACATAGAAAATTTTGGCCTGTGGCTGCATTTTTTCAGTGGTTGGAAGCAGTACAAATTCTAACACTGTCTACAGAAATGTCTTCAGCAAGGAAATATCTTTGTCATGAAAAAAATAACACTCATGTATTTGAATGTTTTTGCAGCCTTGAGACAATGTACCCT